GTGTTTGATTTTTATTACCGTACGTAAGCTTGCAATCTAACTGAGCGTGAAAACTTCTAAAACTCGGACTGTTTATTTTGTTTTCCCTTTGAGGACTTTCGCCTCTGCTCACGATTTAATAACGTAAATTACGGCGCCTGGTATGTTTACAAAACCTTTGTTTGGTTCTTCTGTTGCTACTTGCCGGCTCGCTTGTTCCGAAATTTCACTTTCAATTATCGAAGAAAGCTAAAAAGAAGTCCCGCAAAAGGTCGAACAGTACAATTTGGCAGATGGCGTGACAGCTTAAGCTCAGCTCTATGCTCTACACTCTCATAGAGTACGCTCTCCCAACCAATGAGAGCGCGCGTTACGTCCGAACTTTATTATAAACTTTACTAACGTTTTCACAAAAATACAATTTTTTTTTTCCACTTAAAAATTTCGGCCAACCCGCGAGTAACCTTAACATCGCAGTAATTTTTAGAGTTCTAACGAAGCCCAGTCGAAAATACCATTTTCCCACAAATTTCTGCTGTTTTGTCAAACCACCAGTATCAGAATTATTGGGAATGTGTTTTAATCCCGCTTTTTTTTTTTTTTCAGCTTAGCCATTCATTTTATTACGAATGATCTTCTCAATCAAAATACAACGGAGTAAACGTGAAATGACTCGTTAACAGAAGAATTATATAAACTCAAAAACGTCTTATGTCAAAGTCTGGCAATTTTCATTGTGGTCTTAGAAACAAATATAAGAGGTTTCCGATTGAATGAAAAATTAATTCTCCCATTACCAAAACCATTCAGAGCTTTTCATTCTCTCGTGCCAAATAAAAAGCTTTGAATGGTTTTGAATGATTCCATTTGCGCAAAACTATTTGTTTAAAAGAACGTTCCATTACCTGTTGTCTTTTTAGTATTCAAAATTTTTTTTATCTTTCACTCTTTGACTTGAAAACGACGTTAGCCAAACGTCGAAACGTCGTCAACATATTTTTGATATGCTTTTACGAAATTTTTATCGCAATTTTTTATCGTTAAATGTTAATAAGATTAAAGACAAAGGAAAATTGTGGTCAATATGTTAAAAATTTTTGGATGAGGTTACTGTTATTTTACCAAACACGCTGGCCTTTGTCGTACTCTGCTCTGTGAATCCCGATATTTTACTGCTATAGAATAAAAGAAATTTACGGTGTGGAAGCATGGGAGTATTTAAATCCAAACAAATCGTTACAGCTGCTTCTGTCATTGGTAAGCTGTTCTCCCTCATGTATCAAAACATCCTAATTTCCCAGAGAGCGACGCACCTGAATCATTTTTCCACTTTCAAGTAAAGTTCTTTTGATTTTCATTTCCTTTACGTCTTTTAGCATGTAAATATTTAATATAATGATCGAACAGCTCGCTTATAGATTTAACAGGGCGTTCGCAAACCCCGTTCGAAACCGCATACATTGTGCTCAATTTTCGCAAGGAGTCAAGAGGACTTTCGTTAACCTGGTAATATTTGAAGTGAACTAATTCCTTTTAACCAGTTTCATTTTGATTAGCTGGATCTAACAAGTCCTAATAAACCGTACAAAATATACAGAAGTCCATTCAGTTATGAAATCAATCAGAGAAAGAAATGCCTGTTTTAGAAACATCTAGAAGCAACGCAGCCGAGAAATTATGACCTCAGGGCGATTTTTATTCAGACGCCGAGCTTCCCATGCGCTGCACCTAATGAAAATGGTTATGTAGTAACTTGCCTTCATTTGGGGAAGCAACTTTAAGTTTCGAACTCATTTCTATTTCGTTTTGTGTTTTATTTCATCTCCGGTTATTTTTTCCTCTAAGTTTATTTTTTCTCTTTTGCGATTAAAACCCTGTCTCGTCCCAGTCTCTTCTAGACACGAGAAAATAATGTCCCATTGTTTTATCTTGCTTCTCGCCTAGGTTCTTGCTCCGCTATGAAAAAAAGTGCAGACAAAAACCAGTCTATATAGCCACCTCCTGCATTTTTTTTCAGTGTTATTTCTAATAAATTTTTTCTTGTTTTCAGTTTTATTACTATTCTTTGGAAAAGGACAGTGCGATTCAAGTAAGTTTGAAACCCTTACTGTTTTGGTATAAAATGCAAATTCATTGTAAATGCATTCAGTTTATAATATACTTGTTATTGGTTCCAAAATCAATAGTTCTTCAACCCAACCGAACGTTTTAAGTGATTGTAATTAATAGCAGAAAGATATCGCCTACAACCTTAAGACCTACTCTCCGACAGACAATCTTCACAAGTTTTTAACACTAATCGCGAGTCCAAAGTTAAGCCAAATGTGAGTCTAAAGTTTAAGCATATACAACGCGACATCACACTATATTAAACAAGGCCTTTCAGGGAATAAGGTGAACGCACGCACACGGCACGTTATAACATGCTCGCACGCTAACGGCATGACACGCTTACTGTGCAGATATGCGCATAAAAACAATTGATTTCGGAAAGAGTGTTGTAGCCATTGTTCATATCTGGCTAACACGGTAGAGCTTTGTTTCTAGAACACGCTAGATCTTTTTTTTTTTTTTTTAACGCTAACTTCCTTTGTTCCTTAGCACGCTAGCTTATCTTGTACAACCCAGCTTACTTTGTTACTTGTGTTTGTCAGCCTCTTAATAAATTATTGTGAGAATGGTGTTCAAAAAGTTTATTACTTATAGAATGTAAGCGAAAATGAAGAAGATCTTCTGTCCTGTCCGAAAGTTGTAATAAAAAAAGGAAACATTCATGGCAAATCACGGCTGTTTCCCTCAGGATCTTCACAAGGAATTCAGTGAGCAAGACGTGTTTCACAAGGTCGAGAGGAGCTCAGTTTGAACGCCTGAATTACTTTTTTAAAACTTAATTCTAACCTTGTAAAATAGAAAATCCTTATTGTTTCACGAAGTTAATAAGCCCAGTACCGAATCTTTGTGAATCTTTAAACAACGGATTTCCGGCTCCATGTTCCCTGCGTCACTCTAGGCAACCGGTATTTGTAAAAGAAATAACCGCTAGTTAGCCGGCGCAAAACGAAGCTTTCCGAGCGAAGCCGCGTGTTATTTACTGTACGCCGATCTTGCCATCTTACGAGCTAAGAGGTGTGTTATAAAATTGGCACGGTCACCGTGTTCTGTCGTGCAAATTTGCGAGCAAGATCTTAACACCTTCCTTTGTTTCTACCATGCGAAGCAAGAAAATGGCTGCGAAGTTAATAAGGCAAGCAACTTACATGCAACTAACGTGTCAAAAACTCGTTCTTTTGTTTTAGCGTGCTAGTGTACCCGGCGTGAGCGTGCGTTCACCTTATTCCTTGAAATCCCGTGGTCACAATTGATAAATTTCAAGGGTCAAGCTATTCCATTTTAACAGGGGAATCGCCTGCACATGTACTTTCATTTACATTTAGATTTGAAAAATCATGTCAAAAGTTTAATGTGTCCTGGTCATACAATGCACACGTTCACGTTTTCATCTGTGCACCTAAATCTTGTTATACTTTACCACCGGTGCAGCGCCACAGTTTCTTTAGAAACTTACCCCCTTTATTCATTAATCAATAATTGTATTTGGGACTTTCAAGTACTTTCCCCCTTTGCTCTTTACTATATTGCATATCATCCGATACACGAGCAATTGGCTTGTGTGGGATTTCTCTTGTTCCGTGCTTCTGTATTTCCTTTTTCGGTTTCTTATTCCCTAACCAGGATATAATTCCCTGACTTGCGCTCGAAATGCGACTTACCGTCCAGTCTGAAAGTAATTTCTCGTAGGGAGTTATGGACAGGCGGGACGGACTATTTGGTCATGACTTAAAAACCCAAATTTTATTCGCTTGAAAAGCAAACAGATTTTACTTCGATATAAGGCTCCGCTGAAGGAATTAAATAAGTGCGCTCCAGCTCTATTTCGCATCAGCTACGAGTCAGTAAGGGCTCGAGTTATTCAGATTCAAATGAATTAGTGATAAAAACAATCTACTTCTCGGGGAAGTTAGCAACTTGCCACTCCACTAAAGAGTTCGAGTGACTTCGTCGTATCACGATAATCTCTCATGGATTCTCTCAATTTTGGGTGAGATATGAAGTCAACATTTAAACTTACTCTTTGTCTTCGTAATAGTTTGTCCCAATGGCATAACGAACATCACAGCTTCCAGTGGTGAGCTTAAATATCCTGAGTCAGGTACTTATGGTAAGAATGAGACCAAATGCTGGAGAATTTCGGTTCCCGACACTTATTATCGCATTCGATATCATTTTTCCAGGAAAGTTTTCCATGTTTTACGTTCGTCAGTAACATGCAAACTCAGAGGCTCACATTTCTTTTCGATTTCATCCAATGCTGCCGTCAATCATCATCTAAATAGACATCTAAAAGCAGAGGCGAACAAAATCTCAAAGTCAATCCGTAACAACTTAAAAAATTACCTTAAAACCCTGTGAAATATGGCACTAGCTCCCGAGAGGATTTAAACATGATCGCCGGCGGAATTAAGCGTATATTTGAGATGGTGCATCTCCAACCTCGTACCTTGCATGCTCTTAAAAAGAGCTAGGGCAGTGTCAACTATCTTGACGAAAGAATATTTGAAAAATACTCGAGCCACGTCATTTTTTTAAAGTTGCATGGCCAGCGCGGTTTTCTTTCCTTTCTGATTACTATACCAAATCAGAAAAAAAGGACGAGAGGAAAAAAAAAAAAAAAACTCTCGCTGCGCACCCGTTCGACTTTCCACTCCACTAAAGACTTCGAGTGACTCTCTCGTATCAGGACAATCTCCCTGGGTTCTCTCAATTTGGGTGACAAGTGAAATCAATATTTAAACTAACTCTTTGTCTTCACAATAGTTTGTCCCAATGGCATAACGAACATCACAGCTTCCAGTGGTGAGCTTGTATATCCTGAGTCAGGTAGTTATGGTAAGAACGAGACCAAATGTTGGAGCATTACGGTTCCCGACACTTATGCTGGCATTCGTTATTACTTTTCCAGGTCAGTTTTCCATGTATAATACTCGTCAGTAATGTGCAAACTTTGAAGCTCACACTTCATTTCGATTTCATTTCATTACATTACGAATTGCACCCTTTTTACTCTTATACGCATCTTTTTCTCAGCCAATGAGATAGCTTTACTAAAACAAAACAACCAATCAGATTTAAAGGCTTCTTTCAAGTAACCAATCAAATTTCAGGAAAATGAGAGACAACTTTTGCAAATTTTTATGAACCAGCTCAGTAGTGGATCAATGAAGTATTTGCGCAGATCAACTAAAAAATCATGTGTTTTAGCGACTGAATTTTGCGTTTTCAAAACAATTTTAATGAGGTGATGATTGAACACTGTGTCGTACAATTTTGGTCTGAAATCATACTTGTGCTGTGCGCCCGTTCGATTTTCGAATCACTCGTATGATTTCAGACCAAATTGTTCTTTATTCATTTCAATAATATTAATAATCAATCAATCCTGTAATGGGACTTTTAAGGCTCAACATAGTCAGACAAGGGATAAAAATGTAAATATATTCATAGTAATTTATCTTCTCCAGTAGATTAAACTTCACTTTGTCCTTAGCGTTGGTAAGAACTGAAAACCAGTAGTATCGGTTTGTGATATTTTTTCCAGGGTTGACGTAGAAATGTGCTCTGATTGTAAGTGCGACTATCTTCAAAGAGAAACTACCTACAGCCATTTGCACCAGCAGACTAAATTATGTGGACGATATAGTTACAACTATTTACATGGATATATCCTCAACGTCGACTGGACAGCTGGATTTTTTACCGACGTTTTTTTTGGATCGACGGGCTATCTTCGCTTCGTGTCGGATGGTACTGTACATTACACAGGATTTAAGTTGACCTTCATAGCCTTTTCCATGCCAGGTGGGTAATAATTATTCAAACAGGGTCTCAATGGGGTGATGGCTTTCACAGCCAACGGTTAAAATTCTAACAGCCCTGGAGTGTTAGCCCAATGGCTGAGGTGTAACAGGGCACAAGCCTGAATACCAATCCTGCAAAACAGAGTGCCACCAAGATGAATAAGACAAGTCCTTTCCAGTCTCAGAAAAAAACTCCAGTTGACCGAGGGATCCAAAGACCCTACCCTCCTTACCCCGGCTGACCTTTAGACACAGAGCTATTTGCAACCCACACTTGAATGGGCCTGTAACTGAGCTGCATGGAGGTGCTAACTCGACGTTAAATTCCCCTGCATTTTCATGGGCTAGGCTGGCTCGAGGGCGGGCGATGTCTTAGCCCACTGACTGAGCAGTTGCCAGGCATAAGCCTGAAGGCCGTCAGGCAAAGCAGTACATTGTAAAAATAAGCTAAGAAGCCCTTTTCAACCCACAGGCAAACTACAATTTGAGGCTGAGGAGTCCAAAACCTACCCTCCCTACCCCTGGGCTTTGGACACACAACTGCCGCTGACCCATCCCGCGTCCCGCTGCTTGTCTAGACGTTAAGTCCCCCCTCCATTTTCAAAGGCTGGAGCCGGCAGGTAATTGCAACCCCTCCTAAGCCTGCTGCTTTAGACTCTCCACCACCCTCCAACCACAGGGTGTGTCACCCACAGGGTGTGTCACCCACAGGGTGTGTCACCCACAAGCTAAGCTGTGTCAAGGTATGAACCTGACAATAAATGTTCTTACACACGGGCATATTTTTTCAAATCAAAGCAGACGTATTCTCTTCATAACCTTTATTGATTTCGTTAATATTTTTATGTGGTAACAGACTATATTCACTTGCAGCGGGTGAAACAAACTATCTGAATGCAACCGAAGGTGAAACTATTGATTTTGGCACACCAAAAGTCGACGTTGAGAACTACCCCTCAAATTACGCAGAACAGTGGATTTTAATCGTCCCTGAGGGAATGCAGGTGCAGATAGACTTCGACATATTTGAACTGGAAGACAGTGAGGATTGCAAAAACGACTACGTTGAGTTCCGTGAAGCATCCATCATGGTTGGTGATCCTAAAACAATCTCTGGCGCTTACGGTCCAATCCTGACAGGACGCCTGTGTGGAAATGCAAAGCCAAAATCGATACTGAGTCAAGGGAACATGGTTTGGGTTCAGTTCCTGAGTGACAGAAACTCCACTACCGTAAACAAGGGATTCAAAGCTTCTTTTAAAGCAGGTGTGTTTTATCGATGTGTTTTTTTTACGTCTGTTCTTCCACTGTTCTGCTGTTCCTTTGGAAAGTAGAGCTCATTCAGCTCATAGTGAATAATCTCAGTTTTTTATGACTTGACGTACTAAGTCGCCGCAGGACAATGTTTGAGTTTTTCTGTTTTGAATTTTTTTTTGTTTTTTAGAGACAGCAAGCGTTATTCCTTTATCTAGTCAAATAACCATTAAAAGGAATGATTTGTATATTGTCTCTACATCTATCTTTCTATCTTTCTCATCTTTCAGAACAGGGAAGCGGATTGCTTGTAAGCCGTCCAATGATGCTTCTGCATTTCTCAGCTTTCATCACGCATGTGTCAAAGAACAACTTGTTCTAGTCCTGTCAAGTGTATCCGGGAGATGTCTCCAGGTCGCTGAAGTTTTGAATCATATGCATTTAGCTTAACTCTGATTGTGGACTGAAAAGTCTTTATATCAAGGATTAGAGTGTGAAGTTTTGTCCCGGGAATCTTTCTTTTAGGTCATTTTAAGCTCTCAGAGGATCGAGTTTATCTGTGTGTTGTGGTTTTTATTTTTGTGATAAAAGTTGTTCAGTTTACTTTTAGAGCTAAATCGATTTCATTTGTACGCATAAATTTAGACTTAATAAAGCTTGAACGACATTATGTGCATCTTTGAAATAACTTAGTATCTACGCGTTATTGGCCAAGCGTGAGGATGAGATGGTAGGACATTGTTTTTTTCAGGTTTCTGTAGGACAATAAAAGGTTCATGAAAGTGGCTCATCTTCTCTTTGTTCTGACAGTCATCTGCGGCTTTTTAAGACTCTATTGTTGACATTGTCCTAAAATTCCAAACATTGTAAATCCTCGAAGCTCGCGCGGCAATCCCGATTGGACAAGATGGGTCGATATTGCTCGCCCGGTTTGTCAATTAGAACAAAGGGTTCGCTTCCTCTTTTCCACGAGCACTGCTTACCAGCGCGCGTGCACACCCCCCCCCCCCCCCC